CTGGACAACTCCTTTTTCATTTTCTGATTTCGAAATTTCAAACCGAAATAGGACTTTTCAAACTCCCACTTATATTCAAAATAAGTTAACTCTGAAACCCCCTATTGGTCCGATTTCAAAAATTACCTCACATATTTGATATTAAACATAATATCATATTTACTTAATAAAAGTTTTACTAAAACATGTTCACTAAAATTTCCAATAGAATTCGTAGAATCTTCTTGAACACAACACGATAAAAGACCAAAAAAATGCATTTTTTTGAGCACGCATTCCTGAAAAATTCCAGCCATAACGTCATGATAACGTTCTTCTGTCATAAGCAATTTCGTCTAAAAAAAACTAACTCACTTGTTTTATACTGAGATTCATAAAATGAAATTGTTTCTATCTCACTGAGTTGAAAATGAGCGGAATTCCAGACTTACTAGCCAGAAATGCTAGAAAGGCCTTTCTGGTAGAAAAATGCAATTGATCTATGTGAAATTTTTAGAGTTGCTAAAAAAGTTCCAGAACTTTCTGATACGGATTAAGGGAAAAACTCTGTTCAGATTAGGCTAAAATGGAATACAATAGGGAATTAAAAATTTAGGCTTTTAGAAGGGTTGTAACAATAAAGACATTATAGACGATTCTGATAGTATAGTTATTTCTTGCAGTGTATATAATCAATAAATATTTATTATAAATAAAAGACATTTTGTCCCTTTGGGAAGAATAATAGCTCCCGTTTCACTTAATATTTACACTATCATAAACTACATTTATTACTTGCCAAATCTAACCGATCCAATCATTAGTTATAATTTTTTTATTTTTTAATCTTTATTATTATTATTATTATTATTATTTCTTTTTTTAAAATTTTTTTAAACTTTTATTTTTTTTTGTAGTTTAACGCTCACCGGAGGTGAAATTCACAGAAGTGCTGTATTTCAAAAACGTACTAAGTAAACAGGATCGGGTACTCTAAGTAAAAATGGTCAGTGCCTCTGAAAACCTCACGAGAACTGAAATCGTGACCTTATATCTACTCTACATTATATTATATACTACAAATCTTGATGTACCGTTTCTAATAGAGTTCTAAAAATACACTACTATCGAATAAAGTCAATATATTAATCTTATTACCATATAATCCGATTGTATAATCAATATGTATCATAAAATTTTAAAAACCCGATTTTTTTTTCACCTATCAGGAATAATACCAGTGTTTTGGGCGAAACAAAGATTCAAATGCGAAAAACAGTTTGCCCAGAGGAATTTTAGCTTCGCCCTATAAGTTCGAAACCCTCCGAAATTAGTTTAACCAGAAACACTGAACAGTACCAACGACCCATAAGGAAAAGCACTTCTTTCTTACGTATTATCTTTAAAACACTAATATCATTTCAGTAACAATTTCCAATCTATGATCAGATTCAAATAATATTTGGATGCATTCTCTTATCTTCGAAAACGCCTATATTACTTTGACAAAAATTTTTAATATTGTATTAAAATTTATAACACAATTTGTAATATAAGCTAAGCCTTACCTTTATACTTTGAGCCATTAGACGTTGCATAGCTTTAAACAGAAGTTCTGGTATCAAATATACAAACTTCACTGTATTTCTACGTGAACTATCCTTTAGCAACACTGTTGCAGAAATCCTGACTATTTTTGGATCTTGAAAGATAGGACTTCGTTGAATATAAACAAAAGTAAATATAGAGGAGTATGAGTAGTGAAGAAGATAAATTTTAAATCACGCAAAAGTTGGAAATTTTTTTTTTCAAAAAGGGGCTAATCTATTAATAACTAACCGATCAACGTAAAATACATTAACATGTATGTATAAATAATTAAAACGGTCTAAATATAATGAATAAAAAAAAGATCAGTTCAAATATACAGTTAAGTATATAATTATTATTATCAGTAGTCTATTCACATTACAGCTGTTTTCATAATTCCTGGGACACCTGATAAAATTAGCCGAATGATTTTTCGGCTGATCCGGTTAAGTTATTATCAATAAAAATTAATATAATACTAATACTGTAATATGCGTAATTTAAAATCAGGTGACTATACAGTATGCATATCTCTTGTTGAATTCAAAAAATATGATACTTTCAAAGCACATTCGCTGAAAAAATTTGGAAAGGCCTATCAATTAGAAAATTACAAAACATTCAGGTGTTAGTAGGTTTTCTATAAGTCGGGTACTTGTGCATTTTCAAAGATATAGCTGTATTGAAAAACTTTCTTCGCTTTCTTAAAACCGCGTTCTCAAAACATGAACGATGAATGAAAAACCTTACTGATACTTTTATAAATTATAATCTGAGATGGAACTTTGGTTGGGCTATATACCGACTTGGATACACACAAATAAAGGTAATATTTCGTATATTTATAATATTTTTATTTTATAAATTTTATAACAATTTTATTCTATAAATTTCAAAACTCGCAAAAGAAATAAATGAAGTTGATATCTGCTTCTTTCGTAACGTAGTGGTGATCCTGTATACATAATCGAAATCAGATTGTTTTGCCTTGCCTTTTCTGTTAACCTTACCTAGGTTTGTCTTAAAAGTTAATATTGTATAGTATATGAAAAAACATTTAGACAAAATTACTGGTGCAAATTTCACGTAGTAAAAAAAAAATAGAAATTGCCAATATACACTCACATCACATGCACTCCTACATTGCATTATATTTTGGGCCATTCCAATGCCCGGTAGGTTTTGCTTGGCTTCTATAACTCAAATTATCTGATCTTTTTTTTTTGATTGCAAAATCGACATGGCCAATGCTATCAAGTCCTTCAGATGCGAGTTGTTATATTGTCAGAGATTTCTATATCTACATCTGCATTAGTGTTTTTTTCAATGTCACCTTGGGGGAAAATCGCAAGGCCATCGCCGACAAGACTTGTTATTGTATTAAGTATTACTGAAACAAATTCACTCCTCGTCGCCTCATTGCTACCTACGACTTGGCCCCCTATACATTTTAATTTTATTAAAATCATATCCACAGATCTTTAGAACATGATTATCCTCATCAATGTTGTAGGTAGCTGCAATTGAAAATAGAGGTATTATCTGATTAATTCAATTCTCATCCAATATATTTTATATTATTCATGACTTATTTGAAAACTTTATATATGATTTACCTAGCTCAAATTGAGGAATATCATTCATTTTTTCAGAATTTCGTACCTACTCAACTGTGGTATGAAGAGAACTTTTTTTTTAACACCTTTTTCTTGGTACGGGAGCATCCCTTCGTTTTCATCGTTTTCGTTATTCTTCCCTTTTCGTTGATTCTCTATTATAATTTATAATAGGTTTTAGTAAGAAAGGTATATCAATAAACACAAATCCTTTCATTAAAAATTAACACTAACTTTCAGCTTCGGACTTTACTTCTTCATTTTGTAGTTGGTTTCTCCATAACTCGACTACTTCAGAAGTTTTTTAAAATAATCTATTGTTTGTTTATTTTGTTTTGAAAGTTTTATATGTGAATTATATGTATTTATAGACTCAGAATACAGATTTAACAGTGTAAACAAATTTCGTGTTACCTTATTTTTAAGTATTGTACCTCGTGCGTAAACTTGTACCGTAAATCAC